GTGGATAGCACTCCGGCCGTGTCATGAAAGAAAAGTTTTTATTTTGTCAAAGATATGCTTGGGAGAGAAATATCAAATATACTAACTATGGTACGTTGTTTGAGATGAAAATCTTAATTTATCTAATCTTATTTTATTGTATTTCAAATGATCGTTAGACACCCAATTTTCCCAGAATTTCTCAACGCTACAACATACGTTGAAATCTGCATTTGAAAACGCCAAACGAAATACCATTTTTTTCTGGAAAATATATTTATGAACAACCCTTCCATGCACATTATACAAGCTGCATATTCAATTTAGTCGGCCTCCACATAGTCTGTAACCGTGCGCATGAAAACTCTGGCTCACACATACGCCATCTTCGTTTACGTGCGGTAGTATGCTTTACACTACTGTCGATGACAACAACAAAGATGGCCGACATGTTATCGAAATGAACCTGAATGTCCAAGTAAAGTGTGTCTATTGACGAGTGTTTTATTTTTGTGAGATTTTAGAAACATGCTTGAATTAGAGGTCATTCCAGAAAGAAGTCTAGGCAACGAACAATGGGAGTTCGTGTTAGGCAAGTATATTGTATAAGTGGTAGTACTACTAAGACTAAAGAAAGTAAAGACTAAAGTAGGATCTACACACTTTTTCATTGTCCCAACCTTTGTTTTTTAATAAACGACATCCTCCAGTTCCGTACTATGTAGCTTGTCTAATTTAGAAATGAGTTTAAAGCTATCTTCGTGTCATTTTTTCAAATTTAACGATTATGGTAATACCTCCAACGTTTATCACATAAACTTACTTGTAACTGTAAGTTGTAATTACGCAATCATTTTTCTGCACAATGACTGAGCCTAAGTTTATCAATGTTAGTTTCTGACATCTTGACGTTGTGTCATGCGATTTACAAACGCTGCAATTCGAGTTTGTGATATTTTATTGATTAAGTAATGTAATGTACTATTTAAACATCTGAATCTGAAATATTAATGTTCACGTTTACAATAATTTGACACTGTCATGCAACTAAATAGCAGACGTGAAAACAGTTGAAAAGTTTTTGTATTGCACTAAACCTAACATGCGATGGAAGTAGGTCATATGATCAGCATTACATATGAATACTAGACAGAGTGCACTCACGGAGAGTGCATACCTCCGCCAACGACATACGCCATACGACTCACGAACACACGAATAACCCACGAGAGCATATTGACATGTACACGCTGGCTTGCTGGCTTGCTGCTCGCTCGCTCGCTCGTAGCAGCCGCTCGTTGCTGCTGCTCGCTCACATGTACACGCTTGCTGGCTTGCTGCCCACTCGCTCGTAGCAGCCGCTCGTTGCTGCTGCTCGCTCACATGTACACGCTTACTGACTCGCTGGGTGATATCGATCGACCGCCAACGACATACGCCGCGGCTTGCTGACTTGCTGACTGGCTAATATCGATCGCGCGAACACACGAACACACGAACACACGAGAGCGAAAACATAACCTCCTCCAACTCCGTTGGGCGGAGGTAATAACACTGATATGTAACCACTTATGGTAACCGCTTATGGTAACCACAAATAAAAACATAATATGATGCTGACATCATGCTTGGTCAATATGACTCATAAGTGTATATTGTGTATCAATAAAAATGAGAAGTTGTTTAAAGCAGAATACAAATGAAAATATGAACAAATGACCAGTCTGTATAGCCTTGTATCAACTAAAAAATGGTATGGTTGGTTTGTATACGATTTTGATAGTCCTGTGACTAGAGGTTGCATGGTATATTCATAAACATATGACATAAGTAATTGCAGTTGTGTCTAATGATTTTACAGGTTATATATATATATATATATGACAATAATGTAGCGATATTTTATGTTGTGTTGTTTAGGAATGCCACTATGTCAAGCAGTCCACATACTGCAAAGGTACTGCAGAGTGATAAAAACTGTGCAGTTTGTCTACAGTGAGCAGGTATATGTATGTGTGTATTATATATATATATGTGCATATATCTAGGCAAATCCAAAATACTCTTATTTAACTACCATTTTAACCTTAACAGGAACATTTTTAATACCATCATTGCTAGTGTAATTTAAAGGTATATGACCGCAATCTTGCAATGTGTTCGGTTTTAAATTATAATGATTTTTTATTGAGAAGTGTTTCAGTATGAATAAATTTGTTGAAATTGTTTCATTGTTACCATTTATTTGTTATTTTATTTACTGATTATCATTTATTTTTAATGTAGGCACCACTTACGACAGATATAACTCTGAATCTAACTAATGATGGGATACGATTGATATTCGATCCAAAGTCACAGAGGCTGAAGGTATGTTCCTGTTATGTTATAGTAATTGCATCACTGGACTTTGTTAAAGATAGGTTGATTTTTCAGTCACTTTTTCTATGAATATTAACCTTATAAGTATAATATTTTGAAGAAACATACATTGTTATACATATCTTGATATTTTATGTACTCAACACATAACATTTCTTTGTTACATAAAGATAGAAGTAACTGCTGTATATGTTATGATAGCATTATGTTTACGCAATCAGTTTGATCAAATATCTCCTGTTCAACACGTCTTTTGCTAATAAAATTTCAATTTCTTTGTATTCTTGATATTGAAAAATTTAGATTATGTTGGATAAACAACAATGTGCAATCCTTTATATCGAACTTGCCAATATGAAGTCATCTTATTTTTTTGCAGATTATAGAAGTGGGAAGTCTTTCAAGGGTAAAATTAAAATATTGGTAAGTATATATGTGTACATATAATAATTTAATTCACCATAGAATTACAATCCGAGTTTGCCATTTTAAAGATTCTTTGTCGACAAGCAAAGTATATTGTGTGGTCATCTAATATTTAATAAATCTACAATAATATGTCTCAATCCAGAACTGTAGTACCAACTCACTGATTTTTTGCAATATTATGAATGTTGGTATTTGTCTTTGTTGCTGGATTCCAATTCATACTGTGTGCTGCAATTCTCATATGACTCCGCTGATTTCAGTGGAAAGACCTTTGCCTCGCCACAAGTCCCTCCCACAATAGAGCAGATTGACCAATCGTTTGGTGCGACACATCCTGGTGTGTATGATGCTGCGCTACAGCTGTTTGTGCTTAACTTCAGGGGCCTGTCCTTCTCATTCCCCATAGAGAGCAAGTTTCAGGTGAGGTTCAGCTTTCAAACTTATTGCTATCCCAATATTTAATGACAACATTGTAGATCCAGTAGCACGTCAATTTGCAAAGATCTGTCAATGATTTGTTATCTGCTGTGCATCAGATCTGCTTGTGACTGCACTGTGCACATGTTGTCAAACCCAAACTGCTTCATAGTGGTGCAAAGGGAGTGATGCAACATTATTGTTTTTAAACTATTTGATTTAATTCCTGAATTCATAGTGTATGTCTAAAAGGCATTATGTGTTTCAGTTATTCTTGATATTGGTAAAAATTTCAAAGCTACAAGTCTCCATTTTTGTCTAGCAAATAATGTGTTCCATACTACATTTGTGCTGGTGCATCTGCAGTTATCATGTATAAATTTGGCCATTTCTCTTCCAGCCAAAGTATGCACATGGGCTTGGATCGTTGCAATTCCCAAATGGAGCTCCACCGATAGTTTCCAAGATGTGTATCTATGGTGGCAATAGTCTGCCCGATGCAAGGTAATTATAAGTCATTGCATCCACGAAGACACCAGTTCTGAAGTAAATCTTTATAGGAACATCGACGTTGGATCTGGGGCAGGTTTAGTTATGAACATTCAATGGACAAACGATTGTCTAGCCCATCATCATGTGCTTAAACCCATCTAAAAGAGGACTGCATCTGAATCAAGTTCAACTGAATTTAAAATAAGTAGACTATACATAAAAGTGGGACCAACGTGTACTTTGTGGATGCACATTTGTGAGACTGGGAGATGTGCAAAACCAACCATGTAACATTGTCCGTTATAATCGTAGACATTTCTGGAAATAAATGACTCAATTTCCTATGTGTACTGGCACTGCTCACTATCGAGAGTAAATTGCCATGTGATTGTAGTATAAATTGCCTGCAGCTATCATTCCATTCAAGGTTACCAGCCCATCATTTTTTGAGCAGCACAAAGTAATAGTGGGTGCAGCAGTTGTTTAAAAAAAAAACCTGGGCGAAAGTTGCTGTCATTATTTTTTGGGGTATATGTTTCAATCTACAGCAGGCATTAATAAGAGTGGTCCTTTCTGTGGCTGGGATCGAGCAGCCGGTCTCCAGGGTTTAACTAATTATCATCACAGAGCAATGAGGTCGACTACGATCAGCATTTATGTCACGATGTCTAGACTGTCGCGCTGATTACAAGTCAGTGCATGACTGGAGTGTGATTGGTCGTGTGTGCAGTGCATCGAGTGAGCACAGAATAACGTCTGTTATCTCAGATGCAGACTGACTGAACTAAGCTTCATACCATAGAGCTGGAGAACAGTAGCAGCAGGGTATTAGCCAGGAATGAGTATTGTGGGAGTGCAGAAAAAATATTTGGGATTGCAATTTGTTTGTATGTGTGTCTTTAGATCAATATTTTAGGCCGTGCTACACATTTTTAGCCGTGCAGTTTCAAAACTGACTGTGCAAATCACGGCTGCACGGCTCGCTGGCTAATACGTTGAGTAGCACTGATATTGCTGTAATTATGCGGTTGTGGTGTGGCTGGACTATCGTTACAGCTATGTTTGGGTGTCTTAAGCAGCAGTCACTCATCTATGCAGTCACTAGATTTCTCCTATATTTTAAAGGATAACCGCCTATATTTCCTATATTCTTGTCCCATCAAGTGGCTAGAAGGTATGCAAATGCAATAACAGATTTCTAAACCTATTGCCGTATTAATTAGTTACCTGACACCGGGGTGGGGGGGGGGATAGGTAGCCTGTGTGCCGTGACATGCAACACCAGCAGCGTTCATGGCTGATGGGGAGGACGTAATGTAGATAGTGTGCAGTAGGTGGGAATAAGTTGTAATCTTAGTGGTACTGGTGTGCGTGCGTGCGTGCGTGCGCGCATGCATGCATGCAGTCACGCGAGCACGTGTGGTAACGTGGAAGTATTGGACATAGTAGTTGATGATAACAGCGGAGGTGATGACGGATGCAGCACGGGGGGGGGGGGGCTGGTGCAGCTGGTGGCGGCGGATTGCTCACCGTGTATGCAATTCATTGTAGGGCGCCACCTGTACCAGTGAGCTGTTTCTATGGCAGTCTTCACCTCGACCATCTAGAAGTGCTCAGAGACAGCCAGTCTGGGATGAGCACAGGCCTGAGGCTGACACTGATGTCAGAGGGTAAGCATACTGGCAGTTTGTTGAACGCTGTCTTACTTTCAGGAAAGTCTACTGTATTTTAGACTGAACATTTTAATGTGATTTGTGGGTTTTGAGACATATTAACGTCAATGTCAATGTTAATATGTTTGTTGCCGGGACTTAATCCCTCTTATTCTTTCACTGGTGTGTGCGTGCATGCGTGCGTGCGTACTTGCGTGCGTGCGTGCGTGTGGGTGGGTGCATGATGTCTGGTAGGTGCGAGCATGCCCCCTGCTTGCGTGCCGCTGCGTGCGATGTGTGTGTGTGTGTGTGTGTGTGTGTGTGTGTGTGTGGTATCACATATTTTGTTCATCGGGTGTTAAATATATTTTGTTACCGTGCCTTGCTTGTTCGGTCGTTGATCTTCATCATTAGTGTAAATTACTATTTTAGTTACGCTGCCTTGCTATGTTCGCGTCGTTGTCTTCATCAATTAAGTGTAAATATATTGTGTTACCGCGGTGCCTTGCTTGTGCTCGGTCTGTTGATCTTTCATCATTAGTGTTATAATATTTTGTTACCCGGTGGCCTTTCTTGTTCAATTCAGGGTGTTTAATCTTTATTGTCGGTTATTAATATATTTTGTTACCGTGCCTTTCTTGTTCATTCAGGTGTTTATCTTTATCGTCGGTATTAATATATTTTGTTACCGTGCCTTGCTCGTTCGGTCGTTGATCTTCATCATTAGTGTTAATATATTGTGTTACCATGCCTTGTTCGTTCGGTCATTGATCTTCATCATTAGTGTTAATATATGTTGTTACAGTGCCTTACTCATTCGGTCGTAGATCTTCATCATGTTGTTACTGTGCCTTTGCTCTTTCCTGCCTTCGATCTTCGTCGTCTCGGCTGACACGTCGCACAGCGTCGGGAGTCGTCAAGATATCGGAGCTGAGGAAGCACACGGTCGAGTGTACGGCGATGTTCGGCAGCAGCTGTGAGGACATCCTCGCCACTCTCGGCTGCCCCAGCAAGGTCTTCTACAAGGCCGAGGACAAGATGAAGATACACAGTCCCGGCGCACACAGGCTCGTGCGCTCGCGCAACTCCGACTACTTCTACAACTACTTTACGCTCGGCATCGTAAGTGTGCTCGCATCGAGTCTGGCCCACCTCCTTTTCGTGGGGCTAACTTAGCCGGACGGCTAGCTTTAGTTTAAACTTTAACTTAGCTTAAACTTAACTTAGCTTAACTTAACTTAGCTTAAGCTTAACTTTGCTTAACTTAAACTTTAACTTAGCTTAACTTAACTTAGCTTAAGCTTAACTTTGCTTAACTTAAACTTTAACTTAGCTTAACTTTGCTTAACTTAAACTTTAATTTAGCTTAACTTTAGCCGGACGGCTAACTTAGGCGCGTACTTAGCCCGGGATAGCGTGTACATACTGCAAAAATTTAGTGTGCCTGACCCGGACTAGTTTGATGTAGGATCAAATTTGCAGTCTGTACGGGGTATGATTCTACTACGTTCACTTGGCAGCAGTCAGGGGGGGGCTGGGCAGCAATCCACTGTGCGGAACACTAGCACCGCTTGATGTGATAAATTCCAGATCCGGACTCGAAGAAGAAGAAGACTATGTTTATTGATGACGTGAATCTAGCTGATAATAGAGATACGACTGAAAATAATTATGTAATATTAGTAATCAGTTAGGTTCGTTGAGAAACTACTTAAAGTGTTTATGGGATATTAATATATGATCGCTTATTCGTTTGATGACATGGTATTTCTTTAGTTTAAATTTGTACTATAGCAGTCTGTCTATCTTTTCAGTGGGAAGAAGTATGGGAAAATGAATCGGACGTAGCGACATGCTTATGTTGTTGATTAGTGTGTTAAAGTAGTGCTTTTCTTTCAGGACGTCCTCTTCGACGCTAAAACACACACGGTGAAGAAGTTTGTCTTGCATTCGAACTTTCCTGGTCACTACAACTTCAATCAGTAAGTAAACGTCAAAATTTCACTCGAATTTTGTGTTCTCGGAGCTTTCTCATATGACAATTTTGATTTGATTTGTCACTCACAAAACTGATGGATTTATAACTATTACTGTGGAGTAAATATAGTAGACCATGAGAAGAAGCTCACATAGTAGGTTTAGTGATTGTCAGGTAGAGCTGGGTTGTTGTTCTCTTGTTGGGACATTAAAAAAGCATATAGCCAATGTATATATTGCAGGCATGTATCCTTATTGCTCGATTGCCTGCATATATCTGACACTTTGTTGAGATCTTTGTAGCAACTGTGCATAACTAACATCTGTGTAGCTTGTGTGTCATATTGCCTGTGAATTATTCTTGCAACACATGATGCACTCTGTCCCCATGCAGGTACAGCTGAGTGTAAATAGATTGACAGAATTCCATGTGCTGGCTGACATGGATGCATTCTACATCCATATACACGCTGTGGATGCAATGTTTAATCCATATAGCTATGCAATCGAAAAATGTCAAATTTCTTCGGAGGACAGTTTGTTATTCTGCAGCACGTATTTCGTTAGCAGAGGGAAATATCTAATTAGAGGTGTGATGAATCATTGCTATCCACTATAGTTAGCGTACCCGATAGTTTGTTGTGTCATAGACCCCGAGAAAAAGTTCTTGGGCACATTCCAGAAACATGGCACATGACAGCAAACTTAGGGCCATATGTTAGCTTTCTGGATCATGCAATATTGTGCCAGGGCAGCTACAGCAAGGGCAGTGCACACACTTTAGCTTGTCAGCAGATGCCATTCTAGCAGTTAAACTGGAAAGATGTTTTGCTATAGTCCTTAGCATTGAAGCTATGGAGATTTATCTTGAGATACCATGTGCACATAGGCACACGTGCATACGCACATGTGCATGTGCACATACATACGCACAAGTGCACGTGCACATACGCATAGGTACATGCACGCAGTAAGACTCACATGCGCACACACTCCAAGTACTCTTAGATGATAAGTGACTTGTCTGTGAAATCACTTTCAGGCACATGTCATATAGGCAGCTTTCTCCTCCTATTTTATATAGAATGTGTTTGTTTGTGTAAACTCATTATCATGCAAGAAATAATACTGTAATGTTTCATAATAACAGCTGTAAAAATTAACAAACTAGCAACTCTCTGTTTTTTTTCGGGAAAAATACAACTACCCCCGCACTGCATTTTGCACGCGTAACGTGTCGGCGTGCAACACAGTGGTCTGCATTCTGAGATCTCGCTCACATTGGTTGTCATGGTTACAGATACATGAGGTGCGACTTCAGGATACCTGTGCTCGGGGACAAGGAACTTACACCGTTCAGGGAGGCGTTACAGGGATGCTCTCACGCTAACGACAACCTCTACATCACGACCCTGTCCACAGTAAGCTCCCCGCTATCTGCATGGTTCTTAACTGTCCATCCGTAAACAGATTTTTGTCTTGAGAAAAATTCTGAATTTTTTTGAAAAGAATTTTAAAAGTGAGTTGCGTCTAATGATCTTAACCATGTATGCTTGTAATATATTATTGTATAATAGTGTTTTATCCAAGTTTTTATGTTACAAATGAAATAGATCTTATCGGGAAATGTCACCAAATGTGTTTTATATTGCACAGAATCCATAGCTTCCCCACCGACCTAATTTTTTTTTCAGTCCCCACTTTTTTGTTATTGACCCCTATGTATCTGTATCAGCTAACCGAACACTCGTCTACCTGGCGTCTTGTCTGCTTGACTATATAAGTACATTATTACATCTTTATGTCTCCATGACTACATTTACATGGCTGCATATACAATGTCTACCCGAGGGTGACAAATTCTACATGCGTGTATATGTATAGATAATTTTGATGGGACATGAACAAATGGTTTGTTCAGACTATACTAGTTAGAATTTTCCTGTCGTCAGTGAGACCGTATTTATATATATATATATATATAAATGTGACTTAAAGGAACAGAGTTTGGGATTTACAGGTGCTGCTAGTACATGCAATTTCCAGTGGCCTAGGCTATGGTGCAAAAACTATTGATACCTGTGTGCGCTAAAGAAGCATTGCTAAATTTAGCACCATACTCTGAGCTGACCATTAAAACGGTCGGCTTTAACATGTTTAAGCTGAGCAGTAAACCAGCCCATGCAGGCCCTGCCTTTCGCAGTGGTGGGTGAGACTCTGGCCCCAATTGAGATCATTGGCCTAAGAGCATTGGCCTAAAGCTAGCAGCACACTTCACCATTTTCGTTGCTTGTACAGGCAATTTTCGTGGTCGGCAATTTTTGTGGCCGTTGCCGTGTCACAGCACACTTCACCACAAGTTGCCACCACGAGCAATTTTCGTGGTGAGAAATCAAACCGGTTTGATTCTCGGCAACTCGTGGTCACCACTAAATTTCTGTGGTGAGTGGTCGTTGCCGGCCTTGCATACTTGGTCATTTTTGTGGCGACCACGAAATTGCCTGTACGAGCAACGAAAATGGTGAAGTGTGCTGCCCGCTTAAGAGCATCTAAATGGCAGGTCTTGTCCCCCGTAAAACATAAAGACATCACATTTATATTATATATATATATATATATTATAATATGAGCGTAAGACATCACGCAATACTCGTTGTCGCTTCGCTATCCTGCTAAAGAGCATTTTCCCTATCAGTTGAACAATTGAGAGTGCCTGAGAGCATCTAAATAGCAAATCTTTCCCCCGTAAGACGTTACACTCTACTCGCCATTGTTTCGTTATCCTGCTAAAGAGCATTTTTCCTATCAGTGGTATGATTGAGAGTAGGGAGCATCTAAATAGCAAATCTTTCCCCCGTAAGACGTTACACTCTACTCGCCATTGTTTCGTTATCCTGCTAAAGAGCATTTTTCCTATCAGTGGTATGATTGAGAGTAGGGAGCATCTAAATAGCAAATCTTTCCCCCGTAAGACGTTACACTCTCCTCGCCATTGTTTCGTTATCCTGCTAAAGAGCATTTTTCCTATCAGTGGTATGATTGAGAGTAGGGAGCATCTAAATAGCAAATCTTTCCCCCGTAAGACGTTACACTCTACTCGCCATTGTTTCGTTATCCTGCTAAAGAGCATTTTTCCTATCAGTGGTATGATTGAGAGTAGGGAGCATATAAATAGCAAATCTTTCCCCCGTAAGACATTACACTCTACTCGTCGTAGTTTCGTTATCCTACTTAAAGAGCGTTTTTTTCTCGTTAGTGGAACAGCGTGCAGGACCTGCTGAACAAGCCTTCGGAGAAGCCTGTCGTGCTAAACAGGTCCTCTTCGACGAACACCACAAACCCGTTCGGCTCCACCTTCTGCTACGGCTACCACAACCTTATATTCGAGGTGAGCATCCTTCGTGTAGAGCAGGAGTTCTTAACCTGTGGTCCATGGACTCCTTTGGGGTCCGTGGATGGGCTTCAGGGAGCCCGTGAACCCCAGTGTATGGAAAATATTGTGTTTTAATACGTTCTTATGTGCATTTTTCTGAGGAGGGGTCTGTAGCTTTCACCAGATTCTCAAAGGGGTCCATGACTCAAAAAAGGTTAAGAACCACTGAGTGTAGAGTAATGCTCCGTCACGCTATTGCTGCCCGTGACACGATAGATGTGTTAGAAAATTGTCTCGTATATTTAATTTTAATATAACTTTATAAATTTGTAACAATAATTTAACAATAATATTTAATATTTATTTGTATTATGTAATAAGTTTGAAAACCCTGGTGGGTCCTGGTTTCGAAACTTTTAGTTTTTTTTCTATGTAACCTATCGTAAAAAGGTAAAACATTGGCCAGTCCTACTCAGAAGTAATTACCAGTCCCAGACTGGGCCTGCTATTTCTCAAATTGGTTAAAAGCAGGGTGCATGTGAGTGATGTATATACTATAGAAGTCCAGGATCCTTTGTGACTTGTTGTGTGTGCGATTTTACATTGGTGTTTAATGTCTTTCGAATGCAGTTTCCAGGTAAGATATTATTAACAAACTAACTGAAATGTGATGGCATTGCAGTATAGTTGAATCATCGCAACATTTCGACTCAAAATGCCAAACCTTACAAGCAGAAAATTTTGAACAGTGAAAATACAGGGTATTATATGATAAGCAACTTTTGTGTGATTCTGCATTAAAACAGAGCAATGCCTAACTCGACCTTACTTGAAATGCATTATTTGATCAAATATGCCCTCTACTACATCACGTTTACTTGCTAACGAACATCTCTCACTGCATTTAACAGGTGATGCCTAACAACCACATTGCGTCTGTGACACTCTACCAACCGACTGGCGTTCACCTGAAGAGCTAGCACCCACTATGGTATTGCGTGGAACCGGGACCATGGTTGCCGTCATCCGGCAGCTAGTGATGGCGAAGAGGTTACGAGAGGCTGCGCACTCGGATGTGGCGGCGGCTAACGGGGGCTTTTCCCGTCGGCCAGGAGACCGGTGCTGTAGGATTTGTTTTCCAGCCGCGTCTCTGCAGAGCTAGGTTTCATCAGGGTGAAAACTGTACATGGTGAAGCCATCTATTCATTCGTGAGTGCCTCGCCATCTTCGCTCAGCACCACGTCGCTAGATTCAGGGTAAAAATTCTTTGCGATAGCGGTCGCTGAATGATCGATAGTTATACGTTATCTAAAGTCTGCGCTTACAGTAGGGGTCCCGTATCGTTACACGTAAGAACACTTGCACGTGCATTAATAAGGTGGACTTATTATAATGAAAAGCAATATATAACAAATGGGAGAAGTGCTATAAGAAGACGTGATGAGAAAAGGATTTTCTGCGCCAAAGTTCCTGGCGATATGTGGGAAATTTATGTTGGGCAAGACTAATACACGCACAGCCTGATTCCAGAACTTGGGAAGAAGCATTTAGTAGGACAATTTAAACATTTGAGCACTGGTGGCTCTAGTCAAATATTAATTCTGGCCAATTGCGTTATACATGTTATAGGTAATTTTCCAGGTTGAAGATGAAAGGATAAAAGGTACCAAAGAATATTTGAAGTGAAAGGCAGTTAGAATTAAATGTGGAAAGGTACCAAAAACCGTTGAAGTGGGAGGTGACTACTACGATAGAGATTGTATGTAGAGTAACGCATAAATCAGCATGACAAAGACGCAATTACTAGTTTGTGATGCCAACGCATAGTGGCCTAGTATCTCGCAAATAAGATTGTAAAATGTAAACGGGATGACAATCTGAACGTATCTATATTCGGCACCAATAGCTGTCTGGAATATCTAATTAGTAATATCGAATGGTTACTCTATAATACGATGTACGAAGCGTGCTGTGTATGTTTGTAGTGAACAGTTGTAATGCTGATTACTGCGTCTCTTTCTTTATATATGGTGTGGTGCTGTCTAAACAAATCTAAAGTAAAATGTGATGCCTATATATCAGGAAAGAATTGGTTAGATGAGTTGATGCTTTATAATCGAGTACACTGCTTCTATTTCAGATAACAGTGTTGCAGGTTATTTTCTGCAAGGCTGATATGTTTATATAGCACAACTAGATTCTAACTACATAATGATTGACTGTGGTTAAACGAAGCATCTAGGGATATTGTAAAAGTGTCCCATCGTGGGTATATTATATTGTATATTGTGTTCTTGCAGAGGCTATAATTCAGTCGAATTATTGTTATTATTGCTTCCAAATAATGCTGACGTGTGTACTAATTCGTCTTTCAACTACCATAGACTTTATGGTATTAGGCAAGTTACTGCCACATATGCTTGTAGGGGTGGTGATGGCGGTTAGCACCCCCAGGCAGCACAAATCTACGCGAGGGTACAGTTTTACATCTAGCGTGAATGAACAGGTTTCAGATTGTGTAAATTTTGTAGTAAAAATCCAATTTATATAAACCATTGTACGTGTGTTGACAGGTATACATTTTCTAGTATTTAGGATGATGACGCATCGCATGTTAACAGGATGTACGTATTCTTGTCCGTTGCTTATTTTTCTTGGAGATATTTGTATATAAATATTTGGAATGTGATTGTGATAATACAACCAACTTTAGTGCAATTCGGTTGGCCCCAGTCCAACGGTTCTACTCGTGTCCCGTAGTGGCTGCTTAACTCACTGGTAAACCCCACATACACGTTCATCCACACTTGTATGTACCCGTGTACGTAGCGCCACCTATGTTAACCCGCATACCACGCTTCACCTATTCGCACGTGTTTGCATCTTTGGAGCTTTTATTTGTGTGTAACTGTGTAGCCTAATAGCTGCAGCGGCTTCTACCTGTAGAGCTAATTAATGCTCACCTGCATAATCTGTATGGGTCCAGCGAGAAATCCTACCTATGCGCACCTGCGTGGCCTTACCCTTGTTATCTGCATGGCTTCATTTGCATAGCCTATACCTATGCATACCTGTGTGTACCTGTCTCACTGAGATGGCTTCACGTGATTTGAAGGTTTCGGTGTTGCCGATGGTTTTCGTAATTCAATTCGCCTGTCTTTATTTACGTTCATCACAACTCGCCCAGTCGGTAGTTTATCGGAATTTTTCTATAAATTATCATTCTATTCAATAGATTCCGCCTGTTTAGAACGTAAATCTAATCTAATTTAAATAATCCAACTATTGGATCATTAACACATTAGAAGTTTTTAATCGTTCCGAACTGTAGCGTTGGAGTTCATCAAAATCGGTATATAAGTAGAGTTTTTTTTGTGCTAGTATAGTTCTAGTATCCTTTAATATTTCCAACGTTTTAGAAGTCTATTTGAAAGTTCGGTTATTCTGATTTCACACTGCATGAGTAACCGCTCCCAGCGCTGCACTACACCGCAAACACCGGTACGTGGCATCGGTGACCTCCCATCCGCACTCACACGATCTCATCGCCCTCCATCTCATCCATGCCACCTCTAGCTCTACTAATACCACGTGGAACCAAATGAGACAAAGTTAGAAAATCTTATGAATGCTGGTTAGTGGTGATGAGATATAGCGGTGTATTCCTACTATGTGTTGTTCTAAGCGGGCGGTTGTCGGTAGCTCTGTGTATCGCGTCTGAATGTGTCTCCTACACTCGCTGCCTACATATCAGCAACCTATTTTGTAAGTGTGACCAATATAAGTGTGAAGACGCTTCGTTGTCGTTTTATTTACGTGATCTAGCCGTTCCTGCGTGTTGATATAGGCATTGCTTGTGATGATACGGAACGTACCGTTTGTTCTAGTTACATGGGGGTCTGGTGATTGGTTATATTATGATTATAAAGGTTATGTGCGCGAAGGCTGCTGCTGTGTACGGTAGCTTCAGCATAGACGGTTTCGTGGAATGTCATTTGCAACAGATACGTTACATTTTGGTTTTGCGTGGCGTGCGTACGCGTGTGCCTGCCTGCGTGCGCGTTTCGCTTCCGTGGTATGGGTTTAGTTTGTGGCAGGACCACGATGTAGCAATGTTATGCGATGTCGAAAATGATACGTGGCTTCAAAGTATTTTGCGGTGTTACTCAGCGACGTGACTGAGTGACTGTCCAGCGTGTCTTCGTCCATGAGATGGCGGTCTCTCTCAGGAAAGGCTCTATATGTCGCACGGCTATTGAATATTAAAGATTAGCGCGATAGGCGCGATGCTGGCGGTAGGAGGGCGTCTGAACGGGTGCGTGCTGCCCCCTCGCGAACAATAATTAAAATACGTGCGAAGTACGAGTGAGGGTGTTACGCTCACCTGCTGGGATTGTTGTAGTTGTTGGTGTTAGTGGTGATGATGAGGATGTGTTGGTGGTGGTGTTAAGGATGTTGATAATGCTGAGAATGCGGTTAGTGGTAGTGATGGAGAGATGGTGGAGGTGGTGGTATAGTGTGGGTGGTGTTAAGGATGTTGATAATGCTGAGAATGCGGTTAGTGGTAGTGATGGAGAGATGGTGGAGGTGGTGGTAGTGTGGGTGGTGTTGGTAGTGCTAGGGTGATGTTATTGTAACGCGTTGAACATTGTACGATATAATCTTGACGCGGTTTGGCTGTTGGCGTTGCCTGCATGGATTGCCTTAGAGTTGCCGCTGAATATTATTTTAGTGAGATAGCGCAAAGCCGAGTTAAAACAATTACTCATTTTAAATAGGAAAGCCGTTGTTAATATATTATTCCGTATCGTTTTTAATACCATTTCACTCGCTGCTTGTTTGCATTCGTACTTTTTTTGTTATTTGTAGATAAGAAGCATCAGCTGTATATACCAATTAAAACAGGAAAATGTTGTTTTGACACGCAGTACGTGAAAGTGGACATGGTATTACGATTGGCCAGTATTGTACGCACATGCTCATGGGATGTGTGCAGTTCGGCAACCCACGTAACCTAATGCCCGCGTTTCTTATGGAAAGCTGTATATTCGACAACGGGTCGAATAGTTTAACTTTACTTGCGTCAGAAATGTTTTTCCCGATTACTGTATGACGACGTCTGTACGTCCGTAAGTCTGCCAGCGCAGTCCGTATCGTGTTTTCTCTTTCTGTCTACTATAAGCACATACACTACCTTGTTAGTAAACTCGACCATTTTGTATTTCTCGACATCCTCATTCTGCAGTTCGCGTGAGTTGGGGGCACGTGACCGCACTCCTTCTCCTTGATTCGTCGGATCTTGGTCGGATCCGTTTAACTAAAAAGCGTATTAAGTAATAATTAATACGCTCTTGGTTTAATACACTAATAATGACATTTCTGACAGTAAGCACGTTATCTGTCGTGGACCCACGGCTCGACCGTTCTTACGTAAATTTGGACGTAAATTCTTACGTCCGTGGAGCAGAGCGGCCAGCCACACCTTGAAGTGACCACGTCTCCTTAACTTTGCTTCGGCGGTGAAGATCAAATGTAAAGGCTTCGGTTATCGAGATCCTATAGTACTGGACCGTATTTTTTCTCGTACAGGAAGAGGATATCTGTTAGGTTTTTTATTATATGCGTTGGGGTTGCGTTCAGCTTTAGAGGGAGCCCACACGTCTCCTCAACTGATTCCATAATCTCAAAAGCTCACTCGTATGTTTGTATGTACTTGAATATAATGATTGAATCTTTATATATAACCAGTAATAAACGTTTCTAAATTATCCGTACAGCTGTACTGTATGACTGTTGGTCTTTTCGCGTTGTTAGTATTAGAAGCGTCGACTGCGCCATGACGCGTGCGCAGGGAATGCCTTGGGGACACCAGATATTTTTCGATACAGGGGAAGGAAGGTGTCCGAGGTAGGTAGGGTGGTCGCTTTACTCACATTGCAAATTGTAGGGATCTAAAACTCGGTTCCAATGCAACAGTTGCAACTCCATTCCAAATTTCATTTGGATTTCAAATTTGAAGGTTTTAAAACGGCATCATTAGCGTTTTTTAGTAGGAACTGTTTGCTTTGAGTATAAATATATACGTCACATGCACACATAAATTAGCCCTTCGTCATGGTGATTGCTTTCATAAGTTGATGCGACTATCGCTACGCTACAGAAGAAGAGCCACTGCAGATCATTTTAATCATTGTCATAAATTGTTGCGGGTTACCCCCTCCCCCAAGATTCTTCCTATGACAAATATTGGCGGGTCAACTTCGTTCCGTTTTACAGCTGAAATTCACTGCTTGCGTTCGTAATAGCGCTCCTAAACTCCTATGATGCGCACAACACATACAACAATAAATAGTGTCATAGGAGAGCGTATATGCGAATGTCGTATTTGTCATAGATGCTAGCAGAACAGGCTGTAATATAGAAGGTAGATGGTAGGAGAAGTTAGAGCCGGTTGAGGAAGGCGAGAATAGGGCCTGAAGGAGTGGGAGATTATGGATGAGGTAAAAGAGGTCAATCACAGTACAGCAGATAAAAAGGCTATGCAGATCGAAAGATATGGAAGACGTAAATTAAGTAGGCCTATAGTAGACGGAATATGTAGAGTAGAGGGGAGAATGTGAATGGGTAGAGCATCGGAGATGAGTGAACAGATGTAATAAGAGGATGGATATGGATGAGGCAATGCAATTTTGCGCGTCATAACTAAACGTGCGCGAACAGGAAATGTGATATTTGAAGTTAATTTAAGGCACTCGCCGCGCCCAAGAAAAACATTTATACGAATATAAAAGCGAAACGCGTTTGCGTGAAAAATGTTGAAGCGGATGAATTTACTCAAATTGTATTACATCCACGTCAGCATAAGCTACTAATTGAATTATTTATATACACACACGCGCGCGCACACACACACGCACGCATACACACACACACACACACACACACACACACACACACACACACACACACACACACACACACACACACACACACACACACACACACACACACACACACACACACACACACACACACACACACACACACACACACACACACATATATATATATATATGTATGGATGTATGTATGTATGTATGTATGTATGTATGTATGTATGTATGTACGTATATATATACGCGCGCACACACACACACACACAACACACACGCGCACACACATGTATATAATTCAATTAGTATTTATGATGACGTGGATGTAATACAATTTGAGTAAATTCATCCGCTTCAATTAGGCGCGTTCACACACAAGAAAAACCGCGCTGCTCAGCCCGCTAATAGCGGAGATAATAGTGAGCTAATTGTGTCGTTGTTCGCACAGGCGAATATCTCGCTAATCGCCGTGGTGGAAATATCACGCCGCGGTGCAAATAAGCGCGCTGATTCCAAATTAGCCCAGTCTGAAGTGGTCTTTGGAGCGCGCTATTTGGAGCGCGATTTAGTGAGCTAATTGCGTTCACACTTGTAAAAAGCTCAGTTTTTCGAGCGGGCTGCAAAAACCGGGTTTTGCAGCCAGCTAATTCGCGCCAGTGTGAACGCACCTATTGTAATTTGGCTGGTAAATCTGTAACAGACATAAATAATATACATTGTATCATGAGTAAGATAATATAGGATATATATATATATATATATATAGATAGATATCTATATCGATATCTATATCGATATATAGATATCTATATCTATATATCTATAATCATAGTCATTATATCATTTCTATATATATATATATATCTATTATATATATATAATGTTCCTATATTATACTTACTCCTGATTGTATCCCAAGAAGCCCATTAACCCCAGAGCGTACAACGCGTGAAATTAAGGAAAACCATGGTGTCGGCTTCAGCAAAATTATAAAGTTTACTTACCTTATTTTGATACATCCTTTACCGAATATTATGCAGGAGTTCATAGCTAGCCAATATAAGATTCAACCGCTTTGTTCTAACGAATGTTCCTATGCGAGCATATAAAGCGATAAAAATCGAGTACGTTCTAGGTATATTCCTAGCGCCATATCACCCAGTAACACGCCTCTCGCGCGTTTAGCTGATGCATAGATATATATCAACACATGTCAATACAACACATGTTAGCGACGTTGTACGCGTGCGCGTTGCAAGTGCGTGTGTAAGTACGCACGCGTTTATTGCACGCAAGAGTGTACGGTGCACGCACGCGGTGTACGTGCGCGCAATGCGTGTATACGCACCGCACGCGTGTATCGTGTCGCGGCAGTAGGTGTGATGGCGCGCACGCGTGTAACGTCGAGCGCAGGTGTACGTGCGCGCACCGCGTGTACGTTGGCACGATGCGTGTATGTGGCGCCAGGCATGGTGTACGTTGCACGTAAGCGCGATGTAATGTGCGCGCATGCGTGTAGGTGCACGCGACGCGTGTATGTGACGCGCATGCTGTACGTGCACGCACGCGGTGTATGGTGCGCGCACGCGTGTACGTACATGCACGCGTGTGCGTGCGCGCATGCATGTACGTGGACGCATGCGTGTATACGCACGCACGCATGTACGTGCGGGCATGCGTGTATGTGCGCGCACGCGTGAACATGCGTGTACGTGCACGCACACGTATGTGTGCGCACGCGTGCGGTCATGTGCATCTGTGTACGGCAGATACGTACACTCACGTACACCTGTTGTACACGGGGAAGGTACACGCGTGCGCGCACGTACACGCGCACGTGCATATGAGAAGGAGGTCGGCATCACGAGCATGGACAAATCCAATGGGAAGCCCCTCCAGTAATCTACTGCCCGCGTGGCATCCCAACTGTGTGACTGTGCACGAGTCTTTGCGCCTGTGCGTGCGATACCTCAAGAATTTATACATGCAATAATGTCTATATCCATCGTCCCACGCGTACGCTCGCGGTCGAGTTGGCCAACTCGCAACCGTCAGTGTAAAGGCGCTGCACAGTTCATAGAACGGTTGATAGAGCGTTGGGAAGTTGGTCCAATTCGCCAATTCGCCAACACAAAGTTGGCAGTGTAAACCCAGCTTTAGTGTGCGCGCGCGTGAGTGTACGCGCGTGTGTGCACACGTGTGTGTGTGTGCGCGTGCGTGCGTGCGTGCGTGCGTGCGTACGTGTGTGTGTGTGTGTGTGCGTGTGCGTGTGCGTGTGCGTGTGCGTGTGCGTGTGCGTGTGCGTGTGCGTGTGCGTGTGCGTGTGCGTGTGCGTGTGCGTGTGCGTGTGCGTGTGCGTGTGCGTGTGCGTGTGCGTGCAGCCAGTCGGTCGCGCAAACCCTTCCCGCCTACGCGCTGACATACGTATCTACAGCCGCCAGCATCACAGCAATTTACATATTTCTTCGGACTGTTTTAATACAACCATGGAGTAGGCAGACAAACAGATTTCCTTACAGGTATAGCATAGGGTTTTACATGTCTTCACTTCTCTTTTCTTTTCTTCTTTTCTCTTCCTTTCTCTTCTCTTATTCTCCTATCTTGTCTTCCCTTCTCCTATCTTCTCTTCTCTTCTCTCCCACTCTTCTCCTCTCTTCTCTTCTCTTCTCCTCTCTTCTCTTCTTTTTTCTTCTCTTCTCTTCTCTTCTCTTCTCTTCTCTTCTCTTCTCTTCTCTTCGCGTCTCTTCTCTTATTCTCCTCTACTCTCTCTCTCTCTCTCTCGCTCTCTCTCTCTCTCTCTCGCTTCTCTTCTCTTCTCTTCTCTTCTATTCTAGATCTATTCTGTTCTATTTCTATTTCTATATCTGTTTAATTCTACTTTCTCTTCCGGGCGATACCAGTGACTTCTCATGATGACCTAATCCGATTATAGCTCCCGTTTTATTTTCAAATTAATAAGGTGGGCTCTTGCAGGTAGCGCGTCTATATTGGTGCATGGGACATTTCGTGATCCACTCGTGCGTGCGATCGGTCGTCACGGCATGTGGTATTATGAGTGAAGAGCGTCGTGTTATTCGTCTAATAAGGCTATAATCATTACCACTGACAGCATCAACGTTCTATAACGCATCCGGCGCATAATTCAGCGGAATTACCAACAGCCTTACTGCGATGAAACCCGTCTCAAATTCATTATTAATAATCCGGCTGAATGCTTGTCGTTGCCAACTGTAAAGTCGGTTGCACTTGAGTGTACGGCTATTACCTGATGCACTCTTCGTGTCATTACGATTCGCTGCAATCTGCACTGATAATAATTATCGTTGGCGACTTCAAGAGCTAATAAAACCTTATTAGTATATTGGTATTATTATATATAGTATATATAGGTATCAAGATCTCATAATAGAGATCTCTATTATGAGCTCTTGATAGGTATATAGCTCTTGGCGATATATCATATGAACTGTGCATGACAGACAGAGCCGTAGGCTGAACAAATTCTTACTGGGTGGAATTTTTTCCTTAAAATAAATCACATGTAGCATAGGGTTTGGCTGAAGGAATACTTGTGTTTTTGTCATTTATAATTGTAATTTCGCAAATTGTAATTATGTTCCTATATTTATTACATTTATTTTCTGGTTACTTGAAATTATTATCTAAGCTTGTTTGTTTTATTTTGCTCTAAAATGTGGGGATGGCAGCTGTCTTTCGTGCCCCCCCCCCCTCTAACGGCTACTGTCATGTCAGATGCCGACGTTACCGTCGGCATAACTGCCCGTGATGATATCAGGAATGTTGTAATATAGACTATAATAAAAACAAGAGCTGATAATACCTATAGGTATTATTAGCTCTTCATATAGACTATCTATATTAT